GATTCCGGGCCCTCCACCCATCATCCGGGATTTTGCCCTCGAAGTTACCGGTCTGCTCGCCCGACTTGGCTATCAACTTGGCTGACCATCCTGGCTACTCATCTACTTACGGCCATTCCGCTAGCTTCACTGGCAAAGGACTAGGAATCAGGAATGGCATGGGGAGATCAGATGCGATCATAGATCTCCGAATCCGCGCTTGTGCTCATACGGCTTACCTTATCATTAGCAGCCCATTTTCTCCAGGGACTCCTCAGGTTTCCTGAAGTCCAGGGTTCGATCTGCATAGCGGCACAACTCAAGCTAGTGCTGGTAAGCTGAGGCTGGACGGTGTCGGGGCTGATGGTTCCCTAACCACCGTGGATTTATGGGGAAAGGCGAGCGGGCAGTAGAGGACTATAACAGAGAAAGCTCTGTAAGGTTGTCCTTGGTGCGGGTGGGATCGTGTTGTTGATGAAACTGCGAACAGAGCAGCCGCGGTCACGACCAAGCTCGTGGTGCTAGATTCACCATCACCTCTCCTGGAGAGGCAACCACATGCGCCTCGTTTGCTTGTTCGCTTTCTTGCTTACTTGCTTTTCCGCTTGCTCATTCGCTTACTTGTTTATATCGCTTTCCGGCTAATATCGCTTTCCAGCGACTGTTGGTGCCCTTGTGATTTCCCAGGTCACTATCCTACCTCAAGACACCAAGAGCGACTAAGGGGACTTGGAGGGGACAACTCCGTCTCCGCGCATAAGACGGCCGTGACCACGGAAGCCTCTGTGGGCTGGTTCCCTCTTTGAGTCTGCCCGCAGAAGACTCCCCACCGTCAAGCCCCAACCCAACGATCAGTTCGACTACACGGCCAATCAGACTGGTAACAACCCCCCACCCGGGGTTGTAACCACGATCGAAAGATGTGGGACTTGTTACAATCAGATGGTAGTGCTACCAAAATGCAAATGTCATAATCTTATATGTCCACGTAGCTGTCTGGTTGTTGCCGTCCTTGTTAGTAATGTTAGATTCGGAGAAGTTTTTGGGTGTTTCCTTGCTATTAGTGCCCCGTACGTTATCTCAAATGCTTAAGTCAAAGACATGGGAGCACTGTGCGTGATGATTAAGTGATTAAGTGATGCTATACTACGCAAACCATCCCTCTTCCTTAGGTTGACGTGCCCCTACTCCTTCACCAGGAGTCCCATCTTCCCTACCCCTTGTCAAGCGAGCTACGAACGTTAATCAACTACTGGGTAGCCGATTAGTGGCCTCGCGTGTTCATTCTTCGTATTGTAGCCTACAGGTCCCCCAGCATTGCCCATCGTCCAACATGCCTTTGGATCCTCCTGTATCAGTAGCTCCCATAGTTGCAATTGAGATAACCGCGAGATCGCCGCAGGAGGGTAACCAAGTCTAGTTGACCACCGCATGTATCGAGCAAGCGGTAGCGGAGAATCTCAGAACGTCCCGCATCGGTAGTCCCGATGGGCCTCTTATTTATTCTTCAAGGACTGGATGATCTCGTCCGCCCTCCGCTCGTTGTTCTTCATGATATAGATAAGGTCGTCCAGCCGCCGCTCGTGGTTCCTGGTGGCATTGGCAAGTTCTTCGGTCGCGAGTTCATACCGGGCCCTCATCGCATCCAGCTCCTGCTTGTGCTGGCTCTGTATGCTTCTAAGGACTTCCTGGTATTCGTCCTCCATCCGCGATATCGCCTCTCTCAGACCAGCAGCCTCGAGTTCCGGGTTGCTGCCGCCACCGCCGCCGCCGCTAGCACTGTCATCTTGACGTTGCCTCTTGCGGGCAGGGGGCAAGACAGCCGGTATGGATGTGTCCGAACCGTCGCTTTCCTCGGAATCATCAGATCCCTCAGAGAACTCGGGCGCCAGCATACCGCTGGTATAGTTCTGCGCTGCTTGCGCCGCTGGCGTTTTCTTAGCCGATGCGGCAGCGGCAACGACCCTTTTGTCACGTGCTGGTGGGCTGCATGGCAGGCCGTTCTGCTGACAGAGCGCGCACTTGGCCGGCCAGACCCTCCCTTCCGGAAGACACTACAGATTAAGTAAGTAGGTGCGCAACAAGAGAGCGGAGCGATGGCAGGAAGGTTAGGTGGTCATCAAACACTCACTGTCCTGTTGTTCTTGCGGCACCAGTCGCACTTCAGGACCCGGCGGGCGCCTCTAGGCCCGCGCCTGACGAGACGCTTCTTGGACGATGCCTTTGGCTTCGATGTCGCCTTCGACTTTGCCGGCGGGTTTACTCGCCGGCTGAGATACGTGCGCGAGTTTACGGTGTCGACGATGTGGCACTCGTAGCCCTGCCTGAAACATTTGTCGCACTTTCCCGAAGGATTCTCGAAGGTGCACTGAAACAATGCGTGGCATTTGCGCCCGGAGTTAGCGAGGTGCCTACTAGGTACCTACTTACTGGGGTATGCCCCCTAGCTTTGGCATAGCTACAGGGCCGTAGGCGATTGTCCGGCAGAGTTTACCGTTTACGGCGGCGGGAGGTCGGGGATGAATCATGGGTATGAATGAAAATATGAATGAAAATGAAATAATCAAGATCAGATTCGTTTGCTTGCTTACCCTTTGCTTCTGCGTTCTGCAGATCTCACATCGTGGCGTGCCGCCGGTGGTTGCCGATTGGGTTGGGTCGGGAGCGTCGTTGGCGTCGCGAGGCGTGCCCGTCTTCGATTGACGCGCTTCCGATGACGCCGCCGGCGGAACTAGGTCAGACGCGACGAACGCAATGTCTTCGGCTTCGAAGTCCGTCGCTGCTTCTGCTGCTTCCTCGTCTTCTTGTCCTGCTTCGTTTTCAGCGTTTTCAGCGTTTTCTACTTCGTCCGTCGTCTCGTCACCATATGCGGACTCGGTCTTAACGGACACGCTGGATCGGAACGGGCTGGGCATCGTGTTCGCTAAGTGTTAACGATGTCTGCGTTGCTTAGCGTAAAGAAAAAGCCCTATTACAGGGTCTTAAAAAATGTTACCGGTAATACTAAAGCGTTTACATTAAATATTAAACTTAAAAAATTTTATAATTATATTATATTTAATATTTTTTAAAATTAAAATTAATATATTATTAAAAATCTTTATTAAAATAATTATATAATAACATTTAAAAAAACTATTAATTGTTTTATTATAAAGTTATATAAATCGGCTCCGAGGTTAACCCGAAGCTTAGCCGGGCTCAGGGGCTTAGAAGCTTAAGAGCTCAGGGGCTTAGCTGACTCGTGTCCGCAGCCTGTAACAGCATTCGTCGCTGGTTTATTTGGTGTTTCTTAGGTGGTGTCCTATACTTCACGGTCTGATGGAAGATTGTTCTTCATATAAGAAAGCTGTCAGAGCGTGCGGACATGGGATCAACGATCAGCCATAACAAGCAGACTACAGACTGCAAGAGCACTCTTACGTTACAGCTGGGATCACGACTGGAACGGTTCGAACCTGACATTGCACTTTCTTCAGATTGGAGTATCTGGATAACTACAGACCATTATACATTGTAGACTTGATGAGCAACGATTGAAATAGATAAGCTAAGATGGAGCTGGTTGACCGTTGGATCTCTGCACGAGAACTTGACGCAGCGAGCAGCTCTCTTTAGTAGTACAGTTGATAACGAGGCGCACAGGTATTCATGGAGACATCTCTGGAATATAGAAGCATGAGCCCCATGCATAAAACCGAGACCTCTGTGAATCTGCTACCGATACAATGGCCGTATAGCCAAAGATCCCGCAGGAGGTATGAGCACAGGAACAGATCATGGAAAAGAGAATCGTCGCAAACTTTCGGAGAAGGAGGGGAAGGGGGGATAAATTTGGAGCTCTCCAGAATCAGTTGAATAGGTAATCATCACAGAGTGCTATTCCATAGGCCTTTGTATTTCCTAATGATGGCCGATAGGCATAGTTCAGGGGAAAGCAATAGCGTGGACTCTTTATTAAGACTTGGAGTACTAATAGGGCTTCTTAGAGCCACCTAGTAATGGAAGTACGCCATTCTAGTAGTGCGTAGAATTTCGGGCACTGCATAGCAGAACTGGCTATGATAAATTGATACATAAAGGTCAGGACCTGTAATATAGAGTATCAAGCCTGTCATGTCTGTTGATATCATCCAGGCAACTCGGGATACGAAACTCTGCTCCATGAACATCAGTATGGCCAAAGGGAATATGAAGCTGTCTAGGGATCATCACGGATCGGACCAATGGGTTGAAGTGGTTTATTAGCACAGTGGCATCAGTACACAAACTCCTCAATCGACGATACTTAAGAGCAATACTCATTCGATCTCACATTCGAACAAGGAAGGTGGAAGCGACCAAGGCTTGTTGCTGTGATGATGACGCCTCTGAGTTACAGATAGGAACGGAAGCCCAAAACAATGGGGCCATAGTCCCATATAGTCCCATACAATCGCTATGGCGAGGGGGATAGAATAGCCCTATAATAATAGGTTGAACTGTATGAATTAAAGCATGACCGAATAAATACTTATATAACAGTATGGCATACGGGATAGTTGACTCTCAGTCCCTTATAGCATCTTATGATGCTTTCGTTGACGGTTATAGCGAGATAAACCAAAGGCTAACTAACGAATGGAAATCATCCTTGGCTCCACCTCTTCCAATCTAAGTAAGCCAATTGGAACGAGATAAGCTTTGAGGTCTTCATTGCATTTCATATTGCACGTGAAAAGCCGCAGAGAAAGGGGAAATGGTGGTGTTAGGTAGGTTTGGGCAATCCACCAGTTTACCAGTCTACCTACCTAGGTACCTACTTGTACCTAGTCTAAGCTACAGTAGAGTGCTAGTTGAGTAGCTGGCTGCTTGGGTGGGAGCTGAGCGGCGAGTGCGCACTAATCATGCAGCCATAGTAGTACAAACCCCACGGCTATAGTACCTATATGTCTTCCAATAATGGGCAAAATTTTCAAGAACTCACTAAGCCCTTCAGGGACACCTCACTCGGTACGGCGTCTCCGGAGTTCGCTCAATGGGGCCAGCTGGCCTAATGGTAAGGCGCTAGATTTCGGCTCAGGTATCACCTATTCGGTTTACCTTGAACTCTCTCTAGAGATTGCAGGTTCGAATCCTGCGTTGGTCGATTATATTTTTGTCATTATTCGCGAGAATTATGTCTCTCATCTTGCAGAGTGGCTACTAGTTGTGGGGGAAGTTGTGTTCTGGCTGGGTATATTGTACAGTAGTGTTGACTGGGTTTTGCTTGGGTTGCGCCTTATCAGAGTGATAGGTTTCAGCCGTATTGGAGGGGTAGCAAGTTTAAAGTTCTTGACCAAGGTTCCTTCCAACATTTTGAGATTTCGACTCTTCAAGAAGGAGCAAGCGCGGGTCAAGTCGAACGAATAGATTTCTACCGTTTTACTTTTGTCGGATTGCTTGGTTTGGCATGGCCAACCTGTTATTGTCTTCCGAAGTTTGCCTTAAAATGTGCTACCATCAAATCCTTCCATCATAGTATGTGATGTGTACCTATGTGCCTCGTATGTAGGCTTTTCCCCCTTCTTCATGATGCCTCTTAGTCAATCGATCTGATGATGCAATGCCTACCTACACACGTACATTGGATATATCATAGTAGGCATTTTGTGAGGCTTTGGAGATCCATATGGTGCCCACCTAACTGTGTACCTAGGTAGTAGGTAGTAGTAGGTGTGCCGGCTTGTTGCGCCTAGGTGCGGGCTGGCAACCGTCTCAAGCCGACCGACATCGGCCCACATCATGAATTAACTGGTACACCACCGACGAACTAACGATAATCGATCAATCGCGATTCGCGGGTTATGCATTTGTGTGTGTACCCTCAATACCTTCAACGTTCTCTTGTAAGAAGCATTGCGCTGTGCGACTCTGGGCCACCTCCAAGCTCTACGGCTGGTCAAACCAGCGTTCCTCTCCTTTCCATACCCATCACTGGTGTGATTTCTCTTGGCTCGAGGCTTGCCGTAGTTAAGAAAGGGTCGTAGAACAATTCGTCAGCCAGACAGCCGCAGACACATCCACCATGTCGTCCTCGCTGCCCGGCAATAGGGAGTTGCCCGAGTCGCGGTACGATCTTAGTACGTACTGGGGTCGCGTCCGGCAGACGGCTGCTATCACGGACACCAGGTATGTCGCGAACGTTTCTGATGCCACTTATCTTGTTGTCTGATATGTGGGTGTGGATGTGCATGAAAAAGGACTATAGCTGACATAGAATGCGCTTGGTGCCATTAGAACTTTATTCGCCGGTAAAAGTGGTCTCGAGCATGCGAAACAACTGGTGACGGCGTACAAGAAAGGAGAGATCAATGAGATGACCCCGGAGCTGTGGAAGGCAAAGAAGATCGTCGATTCTACGTTACATCCTGGTACGAAGGCGATACGCAATACACCATCCATCCGTTGAGTCTGCGCTTGCAGCGGGAGAATTGGGTAGAATACCGAACTGACTGCTGTTATGTTATATCAAGATACGGGAGAACCCGTCCTCCTGCCCTTTCGAATGTCCTGCTACGTGTGGTCGAACCTGGTGGTCACGGCGGGGATGCTTACACCAGGTCTCGGGGTACGTTGCCCCCGGATGCTTCACTATCCCTCCTTTTTACTCGCCAAGAAGACATGAATAGGAGGCGACTGGTGCAACTGGGCGAGGAGCTGCTGACAAGAAGGCCGGCGGGCGCAAACAGAACACGGGTACGGTCATCTGGCAGATCGTCAACCAGTCCCTCAACGTAGCGATCAACAGCGCGAACGCCAACAAGTCGACGCCCCTCACCTACTCCCAGATGGCGAAGTCCTACTTCGTCGCGGTGGGCGCCTCGTGCTCGGTGGCGGTGGGGCTGAACTCGCTGGTGCCGCGCCTGAAGCGGCTGTCGCCCGCGGCGCGCACGACGCTGGGGCGGCTGGTGCCCTTCGCGGCGGTGGCGTCGGCCGGCGTGCTGAACGTATTCCTGATGCGGGGCGAGGAGATGCGGTCCGGTATCGACGTGTACCCGGTGCTGTCGGAGGCGGACAAGGAGAAGCTGGCCAAGGAGGGCCGGGCCGAGAGCGACGTGCCCAGCCTCGGCCGCAGCCGGCGCGCCGCCACGCTCGCCGTCGCCGAGACGGCCGTCAGCCGCGTCCTCAACTGCACGCCCATCATGATGGTGCCGCCGCTGCTGCTCGTGCGCCTGCAGCGCACCCGCTGGCTGCAGAGCAACCCCCGCTATACCCTGCCCGTCAACCTGGGCCTCATCCTGGGCATGAGCTACCTCGCCCTGCCCCTCGCGCTCGCCGCGTTCCCCCAGCGCCAGCGCGTCGGCGCCGACGCCCTCGAGGAGGAGTTCCACGGCCGTGGCGGCGAGGGCGGGCTCGTCGTCTTCAACCGTGGCATATGAGCGCAGCCGAGCCGAGCCGAGCTGACCTGGACCTGACTTGGGTAGCTTAACTTGGCTGGGTTGCTTAACTACGGTATATGCCTAGTTGGGTACCTAAGCTACCGGATGGGTGCGAGAAAAAGGGGTGAGTACCTAGAGCAGAAGGCAGTGGGATGCGATGAGATATGATGATACCTCCTAGAAGAGATGAAATAGAAATAGCATTACGGGGGCGTTTTTTCGAGGCACGGCAGCTGTTTTGTTCGGGGCATGCTTGCATTTCCTGTCTCTGGTTGAGGGCCGACTGGTTCACCATATAGGTATTACGATGGCAAGATGGGCAGGCGTTTCAGGCTTTCAGGTAAAGGGGCGAGACGTGATTGGTGCATAACTATCTATGTAGGTATCCTTCTGTTTCTGTAGGCCAATGTTGGGGAGATACGAACAAACGTCCTGATGTATGTATGCACTGCCAGTCACATTCAAGCTCCTGCATCCAATGCTGTGAACTGCCTGTTCTGGGTGACCGTCTGTTCTGCAATGTATTCATTCCTAGATATCCAGGTGTTCCGGCTTGTAGTACAAATAGAGGCCTACCAGAGTACATAGGTATAGACCTATGTAGCTCAGCCCTAGACTACGTGGTGTTGAAGCTAGGCATGCTGGCCATCAGGTATAAGTGCTATATATCTAGGTATATTACCAAATCATCATGTAGACTCGAGACTGTCTAGTCCTATCTTACCGCCTATTAAAGGGTATGCTTAACACGGCTGCCACATGGAATCCAAACATCATGTCTACCTAGCTAGGTAGATCTGCCATGGTTGCTCTTATCGCCCATCCATCTCATGACGTTCGTCCTTGCTGCTGCTACCAGCTGCTGCTGTAGTGATCCGCGGGTACAGCTAGCTAGGTAGCTATGTAGCTACTGGGCCACGGGATATGCATAAGATGTCCGGAAAGGAGGGGTGATCGATGACTCCGGCGTGCCGGTTTCGCTGGGCTGCATACCTAGGTACTCACTCCGCCTAATATCGGCCCATTCGCTGACGCTCACTCCGGTCGCCAAGTCCTACATTGGATATGTAATTGTACTAGTGCTTATATACAACCAAGTCCATACAATTTATATGGACCGGAAAGTATATCTACATAAGTGCAACTTTCAAAAAATGCATAACTGGATAAGCCGGTATGCCAAGTTATGGTCCGTATTACGTACGATTTATTCCGAATTTAGCAAAAGTGAAGCTGGTGACATAAGATATTTACAGCTTTTTGGTGTTTTGGCTATATAATTACAAAGTTAAAAATAACTTTATATATATGCAATTATATAATATGCGACCAGGTTAATAAGCTATTGTAATTGGTGCAATTCCCATATTAATTCATAGCGACAGCATTATTGGGAATAGTGGCAACGAGGTTAGGCGTCGAATTGTAATTAATAGCTTACATGCCAAATACCGTTATGAACATAAATGGGATTATTTACCTTAGGAGAGATACATCTTTTGACATACAAATTGTATGGCATCCAGAAGTATATACGCTAGTATAATTACATGTCCAATGTAGGACTTGGCGACCGGAGTGAACGTAAGTGAACGGCCGATATTAGGCGGAGTGAGTACTACTGGCCAACATCCATGCCAACTTATCAGTTAGGTATTGCACATAACTGCCTAGCGGGCTAGGCTTGGTGGCTGCTGGGAAAACATTTGGGTAGACGATCCCTCGGAGAACTATACCGTGTTACGAGATGTGAACGAAGATGTGTAGTGTACTACTGTGGCCGAGTGTATTGCTGATGTGAAGGAAGGGACATGATGCTGCTATATATGATTGACGATGATTGACGTGGAGCTTTACCGGCAGATCTTCTGATGAGCATATGTACATACGTACTTAAGTACGTAGGTATGCAAATATACAGGTCCCTTCTTGCGTCCCTCACGACCTCGGCATGGCTTGCTCACGATGGTAACCACCAAAAGATAAAACATAGAAATCCTTAACGTATTCCGTATGCATCTGCCCAGGAATGCGAGTGTCTGACATGCTCCCTACCTAGTGCCTAGACTAGGCATGTAATCAGGCAGGTAGATACCCGTTCGGGTCGCTCAAGGGCAAATGCCAAAAACTGACCGTTGAACTGGTTCCATTCACCGCGCCGTGAAGGATCGATGTGGATGGGCCATTGTTAATAAGTAAGCCCTGTCTTCTTCCCGCTCAACTACTCATGAACCGGAAGTGTTCATGATTTTATTTTTCGCACCCGCCCACGCTGTGATTCAAGGTTGCCTGCTGGTGGGTGCGGTCTGACAAGCCATCTACGTACCATAGTATAGTTAGTTGTACGATGGGTTGTGCAATGACGCGAGGAATGGATAAAACCCGAAGGTAACAAAAAGGGACCTGCGGATTGCCGAGTACGGTAGCGATGATTTCATTCATCCGGCATATGGAAGAAGGGTTCTCTCGGCAGTACATACAGTACGTAGTACTTAACTACAGGCTACAGCAGGTGATAGCAACATAAGCCAACAGAATTTGGTCCCGGCAGTACTTGGACGATAGGCACGACAACAAGAACAGCTGAGCAAGCTTGACGCCAAGGGAATTGGGGACTTTGCCACCGCTATGGGCATACATTAGGGCATACATTACGAAGTACGTGAGGCGCTTTCATCTTTTTGGCTGCGTGGAAACCATCTTTGGATTTGGAGGACGGAGCTTCTAT